CGATAAATTTGACTTATCCTTACACAAAGCTTATCTGTCTGTTAAAGCTGAATTTGAAACCTTTAGCTCGCAGATGCACAGAGAATATCTCTGCAAAGTTCCAGTTCTCTACATTGTCTGGTTCCCGAGATCGCTTTCCCGCCAAAAAATTCGCATATTTTTTTAAGGCGTCCGTACGCGGTACCCAGACGTACGCGGGTGATGGTATTAAAACGGAAGGGTCGCACAGTTTGTGGGTATATGCTCCCGAAATTTCAGCTTCTAGCAACTGCGAACACACAGACACACGCATCCTCTTGCCAATATGCGTTTTTGCATTTGCATGTATGTAAAAGCGCACAATAATAAAGATTTGGAACTTTTTCACTGATTGGAGCTGACGGAAACAGATTTTAACAGACTTATTTTTAGATTGGGCGGCATTATTTTCGAATATTCTTGCGAAATATACACGCAGAAGAAAATTTACGTTTTTGGGAATCAATAATTGAGTTCAAGCAGACTAAAAATAAGAGTCCTGCTATGCTGAATATGGGACGCAATATACAAAAGCAGTATCTCGTGGAAGGAGCGCACAATGAGGTGATGTACTATCAAAACAGTATCGAATCTTCCTGACAATTTCATCGGAATATATATATATATATATATAGCTCGTGGGATATATATATATATATATATACATATATGTATATATAGGATAGTTAAGGTAAAAAATGCCATCAAAAATAATCTAGCGCTTTTTTGAGAGACAGAATAGAAACTACGTTTGCGTGGAACATTGATTAGAGAATAACATTACTCTAGCATGGATATAGTGATTTTGGACAATTTTGGGAAATCAGGGTAGTTCTGGAACATTTTGTGTGCAGTCGCGTTAACTATCTTTATTCCTTAATTTTTGTATTTATTATTTATGCAGAATTTCGCAATGAATGCCTGTAGTTGCGGTTCCCATGAAAATGTACGTACACTTCCTTGAAAGTGTCAGTTGCTTGGTCTTTCTCAAACTGTTTCTGTGTGGATGTATTGTGGTATAAGTGGGAGAACATAAAAAAAGAAAAAAAAAACAAGGGTGTGTGCATATTATTCGTTATGTAACACTATTTTAGATATTTTTGCCATTC